TTGGTAGTGTACTTTTACATGTTGGCTGCTAACCACGGGATCAGCAGTTCAAACCCACTGAGCGCTCCCTGAGAGGATGATGAGGCTTTCTTCTCCCCAGAAGTTTTATAGCCTCAGAAATCCAAAAAAGCAGTTCTTCTCTGTGTTACAGGATCACTATGAATCAAAATGGACTCAGTGGCAGGGAGATTCCGTCTCTTGAAATACCTAGTAGCTGGGATAACCAAGGAGAAATAATAACCTATCGAAATCCACCTGTGATATTAAATATAATTTTCCAATAAAATAATCAGGACACCTTGGAGAAATCATTGATTCAATGTCTGAGACTAATTCTAATACATAAGATGCTATAGAGAATCTTTTTTGCTGAAAGGTGGAAAGGTGTTATTGACATATAGGGTCATGTCTACAGCTCACAGGACCAACTTGAGGAGATTAACCTGAAGTAAGAAAGTTGAGAAACAAAATAAATTAAAACAATTTTATATATTTAAATAGGAATTGAATATGAATATGGAAAGTGGAGTATAAATTTTAAATATGTTGTGTATTGAAATAAGGCAAATATATAAAGTTATGAGTTCACAAGGTTCTTAAAAAATTTAAGGAATATTGATTGGAGCACGAACTCATTTTGCTTAAAAGTAAGAAATAAAGGTAAATAAAGGAAAAATTCTTAATCAAGCCAATAGAAGGGAGAATAGACTCTTTTTAAAATTCTATTGAGAAAAGTTATTTTTGTATTATTTTGAGGCAAGATGCAATTACATGTTGCATTCTGCATTTAGCTACCATGTATTTGTGAGCTCATCTATCCCATCTTTTATTTATTTGTGTGTGTGATATTTTAGAGGCCAAGACAATTGGTTTGCAAAATATTTCACACTTTTGATTTGTCTGTTGTTTTGTGTGTGTTTATATGAGGGGTTTCTAAAAGTTCCCGGAACAATTCCATTATCTTTTAAGTCAAGAACTATTTGACATGCCCTCATAGCCAGATGAGATATTTGGAGCATGAATACTCCACAGGTGATGTGTGCTGTGTGCTTCTCAGTGCATCACATCAGGAAATGCAGAACTTGTTTGGTGCCAATGGCTTCCATCAATTTTCTAGTATTGTAAAATATAATTTTGTAGTTCATAAGTAATCCCTAATTTGATCCTTTGAGATGATGTGAATGTTTTGTTTCTCTCCAAAATCCTTCCCCTATAGTTTTATTGATGATTCTTGATTGAAACAGTTATGACATGAGTATTTGCAAACTTTAGACAGATGTTTAAATATAAAGTATTAAAAATATTTTCTATTTGTTATTAATGAGGAACATTTTGTACCTAAAACTTATAGGTATCATAGCTATCTTAGACATTTTTTAATGCAATGAGAATATTTTATTATTTTGAGCATACAAACCAATTCTCTAACAGAGGCAACATATGTAAGACAATTTTTTAATGATTAAAAACTCAAAGGCCAAAAAAGGTCCCGGCAGTTGATGTAAATGCGGGAAGTAGTCAGGGAAGAAGCTGGAGAGTGAACTCCTTGTCTATGAGGAGGGACAGGAGTGGAGGAAGCGGGTTAAGGCAGCTGCTGTTCAGTTCTAGCCAACTGTGAACAAGGGCTGCCAGATATCAAAGCTTTTAAGAGCATCCAGAAATCTGGGTTTTTGTGTGTAATCTCCTGGGTTTGAAATATTGGCTATGAATTTTTTTAAAAATCCCGTGTAGACCAAATAACCCCAGTATGACACACAATGCATAAACTTGAGTTATGAACAGATAGCACACTGCAATGTATTTTGGTGAAAAGGGCAAGAATTTGTGGAGGTGACTAATTCATCTTGCTAAAGATCAGGCTTTCTCTGACTCTTCACAACGAAGTACAGGGTAGTGGTTTATGAGACGTGAAGGTGTCTGTCTTATACAAATTCAAGGTGAGAAATCACTTGATGGATTTGTGCTCAAATTTGTGTATAAGAGATATTTGTGTTCCCTGAAGAGGGACTGAATTGTCAACAAACATTTATTGAGAATATACTAGGGCCTATAGCACAAGGAAGGGAGCCATGTTAAATACTCCATGACTTAGAGCCTAGCAGGAAAGGCAGGCAGTAAACAAGCCTCTACAGAAGTGCAGGTGCTGTGGCATGTAGAGCAAAGGAAATGAATGACATGCAAAATGTCAGCAGGAGCTCTTACTGAAGAATAACATTTCATCTGCAGTTCAAAGGACAAGTTGCTATTACGAGGAAGAAAGAGAAAAAGTAATGTATTTCAAATTTTTTTAAATATACTTCCAGACTTTAAAGCACTTATGAGGACTTTCAGGGGCAGGGACTGCTGGTCAAACAATATGGGTGGAGACACTGAGGATGGGAATGCAATATAAAGTATATAACTTTTGTCATTAAACTGTACATGCAAACATTGAGTGAATGCACAGTTTGTTGTGTATATGTTCACTACAAAAAGTAAAGATATGTTAAGGAAAACTATAGCAAATGTACAAGAAGAATATTCTAAACCCTGAAAGAAATTCACTCCAGATGGTGTCTGAAATATAGAGAAATGAATATTTCTCACCATGAAGCTGGAAAGGCAGTCAGGACCCAGTCGATAGCAACACTATATTAGAAAAAAATGACTTGAGAAATCATCTACTTAAACAAATGACTAACACCTCAATAGTGACTAGGAGTCCCAGGCACATGGTGGGTACATGCTGGGCTGCTCCCTGCAAGGCCAGCAATTCTAAACCACCCATTGCCCTGTGGGAGAAAGATGAACTTTCTACTCCCATAAGGGCCACCGTCTCAGAAACCCACAGGGACAGTTCTACCCTGCCCTATAAGGTCACTTTGAGTCAAACTAGACTCAATGGCAGTGAGATTTTAGAGAGGGGGTGGGTGGGTTGGGTTGGGTTTGGTTTTTTAGCCCTGCCAACGACATGTCCAAAATACATGAGGCAAAAACCTCACCATCTTTGCTTCCAGGGAACATTCTGGTTATATTGCTTCCAAGACAGATTTGTAGTTCTTCTGGAAATCCACGGTACATGTCCTAGTCCACGCCAACACAATGGTCCAGCGGCAACAGCACCTCTCTGGTCTGCCAGACTTAGTTTGCGGTTTTGCACACATAGTAAGTGATTGAAAATATCATATCTTGGGTCAGGTATGCCTTAGTCTTCCAAATGACATCTTTTCTTTTTAAAACTTAAAATAGCTCTTTTAAAAAAAGTTTCTTTTTTTATTAATCATTTTATTGGGGGGCTCTTACAAATCTTATAACAATCTACCATTTGATTGTATTAAGCACTCTTGTACATATGTTGCCATCAATATTTCCAAACCATTTTCTTTCTACTTGAGCTCTTGATATCAGCTCTTCTTT